TATTATTATTATTATTATTATTATTATTATTATTATTATTATTCTGATTGATTCTTTCTTGGTCTGGATTTTCTTGAAAGCCAGCAAATTCAATAAACATGTACTGGTCTGAGTGCCATATAATAAACTACTGAATACTAAGTAATCCTATAGCTTGCCCAAGCTGTACTGGGGAAATATTGGCTCTTGGTTGTTTCTTTACCGACTTTGCTGATGGGCCAATGTCTTGAATGCAGACCTGACTTACCAGTACCTCAAAATGTTTTCTACCTTATTTCTAAAGAGTTTACAAATTTACAAGATTATGAGTTCACCCTTACCATTAGAATCACAAAAAATGAAAACCTGTTAGTGCTTCTTAACCCCAAATTTATTTGGCACAAATGAGACAAGATACCAACAGACTTCAGTAAAAGTAGTTAATTAATGATGGCTGATTTGGTGGCCCATCAATGCCAAATTGATCTTTGGCTTGTCAGGAACATCAGAAATGAAAGAAATATCAAGTAAGGTTAAAAATATGTTACAAGCACATGTGAAGTGTTGCCTTAATAGTCTGACTTGACATCATAATTCAATTTTAATTAACAATTTCACTGGAATCCTGATTTTTTCAAATCACCTATGTACCTAGTAGGGGACTGGAAATTGGTCCGAAGAATTGGGAGGTTCAGAAAATTGGGGGGAAATAACTCCTTTTTTTTTTGCAAAGGGAGCAAAAAATTGCTTCACATAATAGGGTAGTTGGAGGATTGAGGGTTGATGGACTGGGTTTACAAAATTGGCCAAGTCTTTGCTGTAATTGTTATAACGATTGATTTCCCAGGAATTTCACCGTGTAAAAACATTAGCACCACCCCAGGACATCACCTCCATTGCACCAAAATGACTTAGCTTTTTATCATCAAGACATTGCAGACCATGTTTCTTTAAAACATATGTCAGACTGAAATCATAACTCAATCATACAGATCAAGTCATGTTTTGTTTTGCTCAATACTTAATAATAGCCTCTCCAGACTTAATTGTTAAAACATATTAAATGAACAAGTGCTTTGAAAATATCCTTATTACTCTGTGTATGGCTATATATTGAGTTGTCAAATTATCTGTGTATGCAAATTACCAGCCAAATTTGTATACCCCTGGCCAAACTTGCATAGGCGTACACCAGGCACCTTTGGACTTGGGGGTATGGTGACCTTATTGCCCAAATAAAATTACGCAATGCCCGAAAGCATGAGTGCTGTTCAAACGCACTCGCATCGCAGTACAAACGAAAACGTTCACAATTCTCATGTATAATGAAACTGTTATCATTCCAAAAATAGTTATTTTGAAACCTTGCATACTCTGATCTATGACCTCAATCAACAGCCTAGTGAAATCAGAAACTTATACAAGAAACAGTTAAT